GGAAGGTAGGCGGGAACCTGGTATAATATATTAAGGATTTTGGATTTTATTAAGGGCAATGGGCAGCCATTGAAGGGTTGGCATGAAATTGTATTTCAAAAAGATTTGTTTGGCTCAAATGGCATTGTTCAGTGGTTGAACATTTACCTTATGAACCAGGAGGTCCCAGGTTCAATCCCTGGTCAGGGGCCATGCTTGGGTTGTGGGCTCTATCCTCAGTGGGGGGCATATAGGAGGCAGCCAATCAATGATTCTCTCATCATTAATGTTTCTATCTCCCTCTTCCTGTCCCTTCCTCTCTGAAATTAATTAAAAAAGAAAAAAAAAACTGTTTGGCTGCTCTTAGGATCAAGAACTAGAGAGGGGCAAGAAAGAACCAGGAAGATGAGTTTGGTGCCCTGTAATGATAATGAAGATGAGACATAGAAGACAGTTTGTAGATATCTTTTGTTGGTTGTATTGACAGGACTTAGCGACAGATTGGATTAAGGGAGTGAGGGAGAAGGAACAGGTGTGTCAAGGATGTTTTTCAGAATACTTTGTCTGAGTGACTTGCTGGATTATATAGATGGTGGAATAGGTTTTTTTTTTTTGGGTGTGGGTGGAGAATGAGGGAAGAGATAGAAGTTCAGTGTAGGATATGTTTATTTTATGATAGCTACAAGATTTCCAGTGCATAAACTGAATAGAGAGGTGTGTTACTCAGAAGAGCTATACATCTGGGATGGAGATACACAGTTAAGAGTATTTGGCACATGTAGCATGAGATCCTTGTGGACGGTGGGGATTGACTGGAGACAGATGCAGAGTCTAGGGCTGAACCGTGAGGAATTCCAACATTTAAACATCAAGTAATGGGGGAGATGGCAAAGCACATCGGGAGGAACCCACGAGGGAGGTGGGAGGAAGATGAGGAGAATGTGGTGTCAGGCATGCCAAAGGGAGAAAGTTTCAAAGAGGGAGGGAATGACTATATGGAACGGGTCAAAGGTCTAGTAAAAGGATGACTGGAAAGTGCCTATTGGATTTGGCAACATGGCGGCTCTATAGGATGGTAAAAAAAGCAGATTCAGTGCCCTGGTGGTGGTGGAAGCAAGGCTGAAGGGAGTGGATGAAAGAACTGGAAGTGATGGAGAGATAAGAGAGTATAATCTCTGGCTTTGAATGGAGAGACCAATAGTTAGAGGGAAACATCAAGTTAAACAAGAGGCCTTTTGTTTTCTTTCACAAACATTAGAATGCTCATGTAAATGTGTATGAGAGACAACTGCTCAATGGAGGGCATTAGCTGGGATGGGTGTTTGATGGGAAAAGGGAAGAAGGCAATGTGGGTAGGCTTTTGATATGGTAAGTACTATGCTAGGTGATTGAAACAGTACGTGATTTATTATTCACAACAGCCCTGTGAAGTTGATATGATTATCCTCCTTTACAGATGAGGAAATGGGGTTAAGTGGAGCTAGAGCCAAAGTCTTAATCCAGAACTATTTCATTTCAGAACTCTCACGTATAGTCTCTTAGGATTTCTTCTATGATGGAGTATCAGCCAGTTTGCTAGAGCTGGCATGGACTAGGTGACATGAATAACAGGAATTAATTTTCTCGCTGTCCTGGAGGCCAGAAGTCCAAGATCAAGGTGTTGGCAGGTTTGGCTTCTCCTGAGGCCTGTCTCCTTGGCTTGCAGATGGCCGTCTTCTCTCTGTGTCCTCACACGGCCTTTTCTCTCTTCACACGCATCCCTGGCATCTCTCCTGTGTCCAAATCTCCTCTTCTTACAAGGATACTAGTCAGACAAGATAAGAGCCTGCTCGAAGGGCCTCATTTTAATTTCATCACCTTTTCAAAGGCCTTACCTATCTCCAATACAGGCACATTTTGAGAATAGAACGTAATATATAAGCTTTTGGGGTGGGGTGGCATTCAGTTTATAATAGATTCCTTCTGTTTTCTTCAAGTATAAGGAAAAGAGTGGTTGTGGGAGAAGTTTTGAGGAGCCTGGAGAGGGATGAAACAGTGATTGCCTAAAGGTCGGTTGAGGCCAGAGATAATTTGTTTATATCCATCCAGCCCAATTATCTGGGTTTCCGCAGCAACATTCTGGTATAAGGTTAGAGAAATATAAGAACTGTGCGCTGTGGTGAGGCTGCTGGGTGCTCACGTGGCCTTGGTGACCAGCCCGATGACCCTCTTTTCTGTGCAGAGTTGAAATGTAACTGAGTTTTAGTCACATCCTCATCACAATTACAGATAACTACATGTCAGGGACCTTTCTGGCTGTCCTCAAATAGTGGCAAACAGGAAAGTGAAATAAATCAATGATTTTGTTGCATTCACCAGTGCAAAAATTAGCTTAAACATTTTCCCAGCTGGTTCTATATATTGTCTTTCACGATTCCTCACCAGTATCTTCATTCTTCTTTCGCTTTCCCCTTTCTTTCTATCTTCACTCATCAATTATTTATAGAGCACGTACTCGATGTCTGGCCCAGGAAGAAAAAGAGTCAACAATCTAGTGTAGGAAACAGATATGCATGTGTGCAAAAGGCCCTTAGGTTATGAGTCATTATTAAAGTAATAATTTATTTGTTCATTTATCCCACAAATACGTGTGCCTACTAAGTGCCAGGCAGTGTGTTAGGCATGGGATAAGATATGGATAAGATGATAGTTTCTGCCTTCAAGAAAATTACAACCTGATATAGAAAAATAAACAGGTAAGTAAAAACAAAACAAAACAATACAATGTGTTGTTTGTAAAATATTAAAAGATCTCAAAGAAGGGAGTGACTCTCATTGCTGCATTCCCTTGCATGTTTGGACATCCACTGAAAAAAGACATTGCTGAATTTTAACAAAAAATAACTTAAAAAAAAAGAACATTCATTTTTTTAAAAAGACATTTCCGAATGCTTGCCTTTGTTGTATATGGACAGTTTCGTAGCTCTTGAATTATGAGCAAGCATCAAGTTGGGGGATCTATGGCTGTTCTCCTCATTTGAGTTTATTGTCCACAACCTGCACTCTCAGGTGGTGGAATGATTCACATTTTTCTGAAATACTCAACAGAAACCTGCTAAATATTAAAGGCTGAGACAAGTCACAGTAACAGAATATTACTGTGATGCAGAAAACATATGCTGGCCTAGTACATATCTCTAATATTTGGGGCTTGAAACTATGGTTCCCTGAATGTGACTTAATAAAAGATGATGAACAGTAGGTCAAAATGCTGAGAAGAAAATGGATTTTGTAGATTATGTATTGAAACATTTTATTTAAAAAAAAGTATTTTTTAAAATTTATATCAGAGAGGAAAATGTTGGAAAATACTAACCATATTATGGAAATGTGTAGGTAGTTGGAGAGAGAAAAGAGAAATTTGATAAGTGGTATAAATGAGATTTAGAATCAGGGAACAATAACAGCTGAAAATTGCTTTGATGTCATGCAGTGAACACCCACTATCTGCCTTTTGACTACATTTCACAATGGTATTCTAGAGTTTGCCATAGTGGAAAGGGCACCTGGTGGGGGTCAGGGTTTATAAGTTCTAATCTAGCTCTGCTCTTGATAACCTAATGTGCCTCATTTCCCATCTCTAAGATGCAGTGGTTCTGGAAAAGGTCTTTAAGGCTCTCCTAGTTCTGATATTTCATCATTCTGTGATTCTACATCCCATGCCTATCAAACGCATTTTGACGTTCTTTAAAGAAGTTACTTAGGCCAGAATTTCAGTTAGTGCATCCAGGAGCCTACTTCCCTGGGCTGTTGGGAACAGCATGCCTTGCTTCTCTGGACTTGATTTGTTTTCTGTTAACTGCTGACAGTGAGCCATTCCACCTAAAGGGCTCCCTTGGTAGCCTTAAAGATTGAAAGGACAAGTGGACAGTGTTGAGAGCTCTGTGGAGGAGGCGACCTGAGAGACATTGACCATCATGACCCCTTGGGATTTGCAAAGAGGAATGACTCAAACTGGGCCATTCACTGCAGCCAGGTCAAAGGTCAGGTCAGGAATGTGGACAATGCTGGTGACTCCAGGTAGGTCTAGGAGGGTCAATAAGCCTCTTTAGTCCCTCCTGAATGTTGAGGAGATCTGGGCAGCCAAGGTCAGAAAGCTTAGGAAGTCTAATTTCTGAAATGTCTTGAAGAAAAATATGACATTATTTTTTTAAAAATATTTTATTGTTTTTTTACAGAGAGGAAGGGAGAAAGAGTCAGAAACATTGATGAAAGAGAAACATATATCAGCTGCCTCCTGCACATCCCCTACTGGGGATGTGCCCACAACCAACGCACATGCCCTCAAACGGAATTGTACCCAGGACCCTTGTGTCCGCAGTCCGACGCTCTATCCGCTGAGCCAGATCGGTTTCAGCACATTAATTTTTTTATTGCCACCCAAACATTGTATTCTTACTTAATACTAAGTTAATCTATTCTAAATATTTTTTTCAGTTCAAACATTTGCTAGACATGCTTTTCTGAACACTTCCCGAGTTAAAGGTCTGATTTCAACTGATGCCATTGTGCAATGGACACCCTCTATTTTAGGATTTTTAGACTATTGTTGAAAGACCTTTTGAGTTTTATTATCCTTTAGTTTCAGTTAAGTAATATTAAATATAATTCTCTGGTGGCAGAAATATATGTCTACTATTATTTTGCTAAAAATAAGCTAACTTGGGAGTGATTATAAAATAATTTGGAGTATTGCCTTTCTTGGTGATAAAAAAAAATATAATGGCTAATTTGTGAAAAAGTTATTAAACCAGATAACTAAAAATAATTTTGTGTTCTGATAACAATTTAAAGAAATTACAGGTCTTCCTATAATTGTTTCTACCATGGAATTCCATAAAAATTTACATATTTAAAAAAAATTAAATTCCTGTATCTGATCATGAAAACTAATGGCCATATAGCTAATACACAGTACAAGATGATTTCTCTTCTTTTTTTTTTTTTTTTTGTTGTTTTTGTTTTGTTTTGTTTCTATCTAGTTGCTTCCAAGATCCGGTACTTACAGGAATATCATAACCGGGTTCTCCACAACATTTACCCTGTACCTTCAGGAACAGATATTGCAAACACCCTGAAATACTTTTCTCAGACCTTGTTAAGGTAAGCTTTAAAATATCCTCTGCTTTGAAAGAATTACTAGGTAGGACTGAAGTGATGGGGATTTACATTTTGATGGAATTGAATGTATCGAAGGGCCTTTTTCCTAGTGCTCTGCCAGAAGAGTCTGGACTCCAGGTCCCTGGGTGTCTATAGCAGATCCGATCACAGGCCTGAGGGAAAGAAAAACAGGGTTGCGTGGCTTCTGCCTGCTTCCCTCCGTAGAACGTCTTATCAAGAGATTTATAGAGTGATAAAAGTTATATGTCTAGCAGTAAACATAGAGTAGGCTTAAAAGGAGAAACTATTGCTAACATTAAGAAAGGAAGCACTTACGGTCTTAAAGAAAATCAGAATTATGTAGCATTTTAGGTTCATCAGTAGTATTTCGTACTGATGTATAATATTTAGTAAGAACATATATTACATGGTATACTATGTGGTGATAGTTATTTTTCATTGGTGTGACACTTCAAGTGTTCACCATGCTTTTCAATTGATAGGGAAATTCTCTGGAGGACCAGGAAACAACAGATACTGTCAGCTTTTACTGAACGTAGTGACCAGAGGGACCTCTCTGCTTCACAGTTCTCATTAGGAAAATAACATCCAAGAAGTGAGGGGAACACTTTGCTTTGTATTAAATTCTAAGGCTAGGTCTCTTTGTTACCCTGGTCTTGTCACTCCAAATCTGGTTTTGGAAACACATAGCTTTGACCCGCAACTGTTTCTTTAACTATATAACAGCAAAAGTTTGGTAAGACAGGTATTAGGTAGAGAAAGAACACCAATTTGGAAGGATTGCAGTGGCACTGGAGTTCACTGTGGTTTGAGGCTTTGCATGGGCAAACTGAACGCTCTGTAGAAAGAAGCTTCATGTGGTCAAGTCCGCTACTAGCCTTCTGCAGTCCTGCTATCTCTTTGTTCTGATCTTTGGAGTATCTTTTCTTCTTTAGAACCTTGGGTGTCCCTGTTCTACCTTAAGGGGATTCTGTTTATCAGATTCATAGATTTCATACTTGCATAGTAAGTTGAGGACCTTGTTATAGGATATTTCCCTTATTTTCAAATTGCAGTGGAATGACTAGCTCAGTTTTCATAGTAATAATCAGATAAGTTTATGCACAAAGGCGTTTGATTCTATTCTCTTGAATTCTCTTGTCTTTGAGGTCAGTTTTCTCAATGGGAAACACTTTCCTTTATGACACATTTTTTAAGTTCTCGCATTGGGAGGTACTTCTCAGTAAGAAGCAAATTCTGAATTCCATTTGCAAAGAAACTGTGACATCCTAGTTGGAACTTGGAGCTTACTGCTTAGGTCTTAGTCATTGTGCCAAAAGTTAAGAAATTTAGGATACCGAAGTAATGTTTGCAAGACATGAAGGTTCCATTTTATTGAACAATAGATCATTAAAATATGGTCATGGGTCATAGCATTTTAATAATCAAGCTGATATTAAGGTATTTTGTTCAAGTGGCTGTTGGAGAAGATTCTATGCAATTGAGCCAAGTCCAATTTCAAAGGGAGACATTAACAGCTGCAATACTAGTAATTAAAAGACAACAACTAGTAGTAATACTAACGATAGCTATCGTAATCATAGTAACATAGTATAATAATAATAGTAATTATATGTGTCAAGTGCTATTTTAAGCACTTTTCATGTATCATCTTATTTAATTAATCCCTTATAATAATTCTATGAAATAAGTGTATTATTAAAATAAATTTTAGCTATAGTTTACATTCAATATTATTTTGTATTGGTTTCAGTGTATGGCATGATGGTTGGGCAATCATAGCCTTTTATATAATTTTTACATTCAGAAGTTCTATTTGCTTTTAGAATTCAAATACTTGGAAGGAAAGAAGAAGAAAGAGTTAGAAATGATTTTTCATAGAGTAACCCTCTGTCTTCTTATTTGAGAATTCTCAAGGATGCTAACATTATTATTATTTTGATTAAAATATGCAACTTGAAGTTTCAATAGCTTCATTGGAGTCAGAATTGCATTTTTAGAGTAATAGTCCTTTAGTATTCATGCATGCATATTACTCTCATTGATTTCAGTAGACTTTTGTACATATTTCCAAAGGCAGTAATTATCCTACCTGTTTAACTTCAATTAATTTAATGCACAGGAGAGAAGCGATTATGTTTAGCATAATTGACTAGATCAACAGTTGAATAGTCCACACATCCACTTAGCTGATAATGAGATTCAGGATAGAGTGCATGGCGGTTCCCTAAACTCTAGGTTGGTTGAAAGTGAGTCCTGTGTGCTATTCAGCTTGCTAGCCCTCTAGCCTAGCTCAGTGTTTGGTCCTTAGAAGATCAGTATATGTTTGTTGAATTGACTTGACTTTGGTTCATATTTCACCTATGTAGGAACCCTTTTAGTGCATCAACTTCATCTAACCTGGGATCTTGGGTAAAATTTCATCTGAATTCTGAGTTGTACTCATTTTAATTTAGTAGGAACCTAAAGTGTAGGAATGGACACACAGTTTTCACACAACTTCAGGGTTTAGTTTTTTGTTTGCTTTTCGTATTAGAAGCAACTATGAAGATCATCTAATTTAATCCCTCCTCACCACTATCAGAGGTGTCTGTCTATCATCTATTAGAAGCATTTGTGACCGTGTTTTAAACATCTTAGGTCTTTAAGGATCTTGCCTTTTACCTGGCAGAACATTTAAAGGCTTCCAGTCTTCCTATGTCAAACATTCTCTCTTCTGGTGCCATTCAAGCTGGAGCACATAACATTTTAAAAAAAATAATTAAGTTTTGGAAAAGTCATTTTCTGCTAACTCTTAGAAAAAGTTTAATATATTTTTAAAAGGGATTCTAGCCTCAGTTTGATGTCATAATTGAATTATAATTTCTGATTACTTAGGAAGAGTATATAGCCCTTCAGATTACTGATTTGAAGTCTACAGAGAAGCTTCAAATGATTAGAAAAAGTTTGTTTGGTGCATTCAACTCAAGTCAACATTTGTAACCTTAGAGAAAGTTTATTTTATGTATTAATTTTCTGTGCTATAAATACCTTGGGACAACTTCTCATCTTTACCAACACCCACAGAGATCTTTTCTTGATTTCTCTTGATGTTGGAAGTAAATGCTTGATAAAGAGGATCTCAGGAGGGAGAAGGAAAGGTGAAAAGTTGGATGCTGGGTCAAACTCTTCTGAGCAGGGCGTTCCTAATATTCCTTTTGGTTGGATGTACAGACCTCTGGGAAAGAATTCCAAATGGGAAGTTGGTTTTATGATTCCCAAGTTAAACAGTTTGGTTGGGGAAATAGGTGTTTTTTGTGTTTCTTTTTTTCTTCCTGAATAAAACTCACAAAACATCATAAAATCACAATACATTGCACATTTATTCATGAGCCCTTCTTAAGTTTTTCCACAAACGAAAACATTCCCTTACATTGAACATGAATGGTAATTTAAAGCTGGTTTCATGGATAACTCATCCTCAGCCATTTTTCTCTCTCTCAATTTCACCTACTTATTGAATCTGAAGGCAGTGAGAGAGTTTTACTGCTTTAATGCTGACATTCTTCCCTCCCTGAATGTCTGAGGTTGTTGCTGCTATCATTTGGGAATGCCACATATACAGGAAGGGAAAAATATCAAAAGAAAACCTCCAAAGTTGATTTACTAGTATTTGTCAAATTATATCAAACTTTGGAAAAATAGCAATGTATATTTGAAAATATAATGTGCTGTATTTCCCCCACCAAGACAAAGTTGGATGAGAGCACTGTACTTGATTGAAAGGACAGTATAAATATATGATAAAGAGAACATTTTATTCTCAATGGCAAAGTATTTTTTTTATACCACTGCTGAAAGATCCACATCTTATAAATTTGAAAAGATGCTGGTAGTTGGTTAATTTAGGGCTGAAGTTTGGGAAATATTTCTGACATATCCATTGTGATTCTAAAGGTATTTTCAGCGGGATAGAATCCTTTACGTTTAAAATATATATATATATATTTTTTTCCAGTGGCTTATTATATATAGGCTTATTATCAAGACTATAAAATTTAAAGGTGGTATTTTTAGGAGTAACTGAATTATGTGAGGAAAGTATAAAGTCTGATGGAATATGATGATATTTATATTGGATGTAGACAGGCAGGGGTAACTGGAATGTTGATATTATCCCATTGTAAAGTAGAAGCTTACAAAGTTAAATACATCACACACAAAAAAAAGGTAACTTAAATCCCTTTAAAAGTTAAAAAAAACAAAAAACCTTACACTAAATCTTAAGTTTTTTATTGCTAAGAAGTGTTACATAACTATTCTGAAATTATTTTTATTATTATTGATTGTTTTTTCCTCGACATTGGGGAACAGAAGACAAAGGAAATTGAGGTAAATTAGGCACATGGAAAACAAGAAGCATGTAGTTATTTTTCTTACATTGTAACATATTTTGCACTAAGAGTAAATAAAAATAAATGTAAATTTGGAATAGCAAGCATGCTTGACACTAACCAATTCTTCACCCCACCGTAAAATTTGTAAATGTAGTATCATTAACTAAGAACTTAGTAATATTTTATTCACATAGAATAAGTGTAAAACAAGGTTATTTTTATGTAATGAGGCATTTATAAATTATCTGTTTTGATTAACATATAAAAGCATGTTGTAAGTACAGCAGATATTATCATTATAATGTATAGCTATTGTCTGTAATGATAAATAGTATAACCGCATTTTAAAAAATCTAAACATTCGGCTATGTAGTTATTTTTTTCTATTTTTAAATTAACAACTTTTCTGCTTTATCACTTTTACTAAAAGGTTTTTATTTAAAACTGAAGGCTAAAAGAAAGCCAATATATTTTTATAATTTATTTTTATTCCCCTTAAACTTTTTGTTAACTTTCTAAACTATCTTTCCTCTAGTTTTTAGTGAGTTTTGTTGAATAATAACGTAAGTAGCAGCAGTAACATATGAGATCTTATTGTATAATATGCAGCTACCTGGCAGATACTGCTTGCTTAGCCTTTAGAATTTTGAAGGTAACTATTTAATAAGCTATTGTTTGTATTCATAGATTAAAATGTTTCTTCCCCAACATGCAAAATTAAAAACACACACATAAATAACCATTATCATTAGTTCACAAACATATGCTACTGACCATTTAATATATATTATTTTACAGCTTTTCCAATGTAGTTTAGCTAACATTTTAGAAATATGTATTATTTCTAAATTCATATGCCTGTTTAAACTTCATTATCTCAAATGATACTGACAGAATGTCATGAAACAGTATCATAATATACATATAGACATTATTTTGATGCAATAAACATGTGATTTTTAAGACTTTCTTAATAAACACACATGTTTATTCTTTGCTAAAACATGTTTCTGCAAGTGCCATACCTATATTTTGCAAGTTTTATTTACCTGATTAAGACAGTCTTGCTAGAAACTTCCTTTGTTTTGAAAGCTTTTTTAAAAAAAATTAAGAATAAAAACCCTAACTTGGTAGACAAAGCTGCTATTTTTCCTTCCAGGAAACTTTTTCATCAGATCGATAAACTGTAAAACATGGGTTTGGCACTGAAACATGCATTTTTATATTTTTGCTCCTTACAAACCAGATAACACATGAGATGCAATGCAACTTCCGCAAAGTAAACCTTGCCTTATTGGTATCTGAGCACGAAGCCGAGTGACCTGACCCAGGTTTGCAGATGCTCCTGGTGTGGCCATTGCATCTTATGTGGGGTGTATCTGGTGTTTTATTATTTGTTTTAGAGTGTCATTTCAATGTAATGTGCTGTTCTTTGTGTCTTTGTTGTCTCTTTTTTTTCTTTGTCCCCCCAACAGCATTTTGTCCCGCACAGGGAAGAAGGAAAGTCAAGATGCCTCCAATTTGACAGTGCCCATGACCATGTGTCTTTTTCCTGTGCCATTCCCACTCACCCCATCTCTAAGACCGCAGGTCAGTTCCATCAACCCTACTGTTACTCGCTCCCTCCTTTACAGCGTCCTGCGAGATGCTCCCTCTGAACGCAGCCTGCAAAGTCGTGATGCTCACTTGTCAGACTACCCTTCCTTGGACTATCAAGGCCTCTACGCGACTTTGGTGACTCTCCTGGATCTAGTTCCTTTACTACAGCATGGCCAACACGGTGAGCACCCACTCGAACACTTTGAGATTGTCTATGGAAGCTGCTGACTGTTGTTATTGGAGTAAATTGCTTGAAAGGTCTCTGTGAGGCTAAAGCCTTTCTTAGTACATTGAAATTTAATTATGATGTTTTCTATCCTAACATTTCTCTGTTCTATGGCCAGAGAGATGCTGTCCAAGTGGGCCTGAATTGGGGGTGAATGGGCCGGGAGAGGAGAAAGACTATAATAGGAATATATCTCTTCTCTCCTGATCTGCTTATCATGCAGACTCTTGTTGAAATGATTTGGGAGCAAAGACTTAAAAAGTTGCCCCCTGAAGATATAAGAGGTGAAGCTTGAAGAACAGGTTAAATGCAGACTTAATTCTGTGATTTTTTGGGGGGAGCCAAATCATGGAATCTCTCTGGGATTCATTTTTCCTGTCTTGAAGCCCAGGACATTAGATAAGAAGACATCTCTAAAAATAAAAAGAAATCTAAGAAATGTTGCAAATGTAACTAACAACCAGAAGTTAATTACAGAATGTTGGCTAAGTGGTAACTGTCATATGCTGTATAAGGTGTACAGTGAACAGTATCAGTGGTGCCTTAGGACAGAAGCCAAGAATATACTTCTTAATTCTTCCCCTTTCTTCTGTGTGTCTTTAGGCAATTTCATGATCTTGCTTGCTTACCAAATTCTTCTATCCCATAAGAAATAGTCCAATCATATTTACTGCTCAACCATTCAGTATTATTGTTGGGTGAATCAAATGGGAAACCATACAATAAGAAAAGAGATTTTTTTTTTTTTTTTTTTTTGCAGAAAATGAACTTTTATAATGCCAGTTGTCTTAACTTGAAAGCACTGACAATTTGGTTTCTAGAAGGATGATAACCAAAGTTTCACTGTACAAAAATATTGGAATTTGGAAAATGGATGGGTGATGAGGGGTTATTTTGCTTTTTAGTTATGGCTAACTCTCCTGTGAGAATGCTTAATGGTTTATTTAGTAAGATGTGTTCCTAATTTTAAAAAATTATAAAAAAAAACCTACTTGCATAAAAATGATGAAATGATGATTATTGAATTTGTTTATGCTTATAATTACAATTCTGTATTAGAGTAAATATAAAAACATAGACATCTGTAAATTTGCTTATTATATAATTCTGTAGCTGTTTTAAGCCACGTCACTTTTATTGTGGTCCTATCCCAGCTCAGAACTTAAAGGCGATGACCCTTTGAACAGGAGGCTGCCAGAGTTTCCTGTGTGGTGAGCTGGTCAGTGCTTTTCCTTTGTGACTTTAGTCCTGTGATCATCTTGGACCTGCCTGGTCCTGGGCTGGGCCCCTGTGTTAGGCAGCTGTTCTTTCCTTTCAGAGCCCCTTGCTTAAGATCGAAGCATTCACTTTGGTGACTCACAATTCAAGTAAATTGCAATTCATGTGTACATTATGACAATTTCAGGGAGAATGATTTGTATTTTTGCTTTTACACCCACAGCTATTTTGTGACTTTTCACTGTTATGTATATACCACGCTCTTGTTCTGCTTGACAAAGCTTGAAAGATAGTGGGGACCTCACTAGACCCCTGAGAGGTTAAAAACGGTACAGCATTTTCCTCTAAGCATGGTCTGAACAACTTCAGAATCGCTGAGGAATCTTGAAGCATGGAATTCTGGGTCCCAATCCAGGACTTCTGAACAAGAATCACTGGATTTTTAACCAGCTCTCTGGGTGGTTCTTTTGTATACCATGTTTGAGAACAACCTTCAGCTAGGGCTAGAGGCTGTGTCTGCACAAGGGGCAATGCAGTGTACCCGGAAGAGCCCCATTTTTGTCTCAGTGCAGCCTGCTAACTCTTAGAAAACCTTGGAGTGATTACTCCCCTTCCCAGGCCTGTTTCCTCATATGAAGAATATTCCAGGTGGCCTCTCAGGCCCCCTTCTGTGCTAATGTTCTGAAAATAGGCTAAAATGCAGCTGAGGTATCTTTTTATGTACTTTTTATGCTTTACTTGTGAACCACCTATGTGTTTTCTGTGTCTTCATTGGGAACCCAAGTCTGGCTGACCTTGCTCCTCAGTGTATAGTGTGGCCTCATCTTCCCTGTTGACAGTTGATTGCTTGCTGAGATGGCAAATTAATTTTAAAGTCAGAAATACATTAGGCATCAAAATAGCACTAAGAAAGTAAATCTGCAAAACAAACAAGTCGAATAGTTTTCTTTTATAATGAATATGAAAACAATCAAGAGTCTTCATTGTCAAGTCAGTGGCCGATGACCTATATATTGGGAGGTCCAGGATTCAAAATACACATTCTTTGCACTGGGATTTGGTCTACATGCATTCTAAAGCTAATAGTTATTCCCCCCCGCCCCCAAATGTCCTCTGTTTTTACTCCTTGTGCAGGTAATAATAATAGTAACAATACTAACATTAATAAAATAAAATGGCTAATATATGCGGAATGCACATTATATGTTAGGTTAAGCACTTTACATTTATCTCATTTAAAGCTCCTAACAATTCTTTTAATGAAGTGAGGTAGGTAATGTTCCTATCCCCATTTAAAAATGTTGACTGATTATGATTAGGTGGCACGTTCTTCTGTGATAACCTATAACTAAATACCAGGGACATGCAGCAGTAGTTTACGGCTTCCTTTCTTTGGTGCAACTGAATCTGCCCTGGTGCTGGCAGATGCAAATTACCTTATTCCCCATGACTCCAAGTGTAGGAAGATTGTAGTTTGGTTGATGGATTAGAAATAGCCTGTTTTTTTAATTTTGTTTTTGTTAATCCTCACCTAAGGATATTTTTCCATTGATTTTTAGAGAGAATGAAAGGGACAGGGAGAGGCACACAGAGAGAAAAACATCAATGTGAGAGAGACACAGCAATTGGTTGCCTCCCACCCATGCCCCAACCAGGGCAGGATGGAACCCACAACCAAAAGAAGTGCCCTTGGCCAGGAATTAAACCCAGGATCCTTTAATCTTCAGATCAATACTCTTATCTACTGAGCAAAACTGGCTAGGGCTGTCCTATCCGGTTTGGCTCAGTGGATAGAGCATTGGCCTCCAGACTCAAGAGTCCCAGGTTTGAGTCTGGTTAAGGGCATTGTCTTGGTTGCGGGCACATCCCCAGTAGGGGATGTGCAGAAGGCAGGTGATTGATGTTTCTCTCTCATTGATATAGCTAACTCTCTCCCTCTCCCTTCCTCTCTGTAAAAAATCAATAAAATATATTTTTTAAAAAAACTGGCTAGGGCTAGCCTGCTTTATTTCCAGTCCTGCCCTTGACTTTTCTAAAACTTTCAGTGAGAAAATAATTTAACATCCTGTGCCACAGTTATCTTGTATAATGAAAATGCAGGTAAGAATGCTGGAAAGATTTCAGGAATCATTAGCCCATGGAAAGTGCTTCTAATTTATCAAATTGAGGAGTAATATGAATAACAAGTGTTCCTGAAGCTTGATAAAGTATTGAGGAAAAGCTCATGTAATAGATATTTATTTGTTTTAATGTAGTCATTCATTAGTCATTTATTGAGCAAATGCTCTATAGTTATTATACTGGGTAGTAAGTTTTAGAACTCTTAATAGGAAGGGAGCAATAGTTGCTTATAATTTAAATCAGTTCATAAAAACTTAGAATGTATAATTAGCATATTTTGTTAAATGGCAAAATATTCAGTGACTGATTACTCAATTTTCTTTTGTAGATCTTGGACAGTCGATATTTTATACAACCACATGTTTGCTGCCCTTTCTCAATGATGATATTCTGAGTACTTTGCCCTACACGATGATATCAACGTTAGCTACCTTCCCTCCATTTCTGCACAAGGATATTATTGAATATCTTAGCACATCTTTCCTACCAATGGCTATATGTAAGTTGAATTTTACCTAATACCAGATTATTTTTATATATTGTACAAATGGAAATTGCTTTTGCTATCTGAGGCTATAAATTTGTAAGATTATAATGAAATCACTCGCTATGGACATGTGCCACGATTTACATTCAGTCGCTTCAGCATGAATATTATGATGAAAACCAAAGGTGTGGAAGATTATACCTTACAGTTGTTTTATTCACATAGTTTGATCATCTTTTGCAATAGGAAGAGAGAACATATCAAGGCAGTTTATGTTCCTAAGTATAAATTATTAGTGGCCTCGTGCATGAAAATTCATGCACTGGAGCAGAGGGACCTTCAGCCTTGCCTGGCCCCCTCTCACAGTCCAGGAGCCCTCAGGGACGGGAGGTGACCCAGTGATCAGGGAAAGGCCATGTCCCATCATACCTCTGCTGCTGCCACTGTGGGCAGCATAAGCCTTGGCCTGCCCTGGTTACCTGTGCCTCTGGTGGCCCCGGGCAGCTGGGCGGCTGCCATCCTAGGCTTTCCTGTGCCTCAGGCCGTCCCTGGCTGCTGAGGGGGCTCAGGAGACTGGGGACTTCAGAGGCAGGTACATGGAGCATCCGGGCCCACCTGGGGGCAGGCCTGGCCTTGCCATGCACTTGCCACCCTGGTGGGGTTGCATGGACTGGGCACTGCCATCTTGTGGCTGTGGGCGCCACCATATTGGAGGGCATGACAGTCAATTAGCATATTTCCTCCTTATTGTCTGTGGACATAGTCATATTTGAGGGCGGGACAGTCAATTAGCATATCCCCTCCTTATTGGCTATGGGTACCACCATCTTTGCAAAGGTGTGAGGGTCAGTTAGCATATTCCCTCTTTATTAGATAGGATGCTATTTTTTTTCGACTTGAGGGAAATAAAGGCGGAGTGTTGCCTCAGCTGTAGAAATTATTATCTTTTGCATTTGAAGGCAGTAAGTTATGATGGAAGGAGCAATAGATAAAGTCAGGATATGTAGATTGTAGGCTCAGTTCTATCCATAATCTGCTGTGTGATGTTTGGCAGCTCCCATAGATGAAACCACATCTTCAGAATGATGATAGAATCAGCTTTCTCTCACGGGGATGTGGTGGTGATAAAGTGAATCATAATACATGAAAACTCCTTGAAAACAGTTAAAGCTTGAGACTCATGTGCAAGTATTGTCAGAAACTTGTAACTGGTTTGAATTCTACTTTGCTGTTTTAGACTTAATTCTTCAGGCTTTCCAGACATGAGAGCAAAGAGAAAAAAAAAAAGTTGTGTGGTAGCTTTTATGATAAAAATCCTCCTATGAATTATCTATGTTTCAGTGAACAATCTGAAATGATTATGTTATGGCTTGAGGACTTAAATAGACCTCAATTCAAATCATAGCTCTGCTACCAACTAGCTGTGTGACTTTAGGCAAGTTAACTAACCTTTCTGTTTCTTACCTGTAAAATGAGAATAATAATAATGGCTGCTTCATAAGGTGGTTGTGATAATTGAGAGGATGATGACGCTAGAAGATTGACAAGATGCTAACACAATCCCTCGTGTTCACTAAGTGTTAGTTTACTTCTCTCCTTCCCTCAACTCTTGTTCTATAAAAATACCTTTGTTGGTCACATTCAATTCCTAGTGATCATTTTTCACCATTTTAATGTTATGTACTTATGATCTCATAAAAGTTGCTGCTCTATAAATATATGTACCTTTGAACCACATTTATGTCTTTTATAATCAAGTTTAATTTTAGCTATGGAATTATAATTCTCATGTCTTTTAAACAAAGAGTCTGGTTTCTGCCTAAATTATGTAGTGATTAAAAAAATTATCAGACTGATATACCATTCAAGTAATAGAATATTTAACCATTTTTTTTTATTGTTCTGTTTAACCTTACTGATAAGTACTTGTCTATGGCTACAGCCTTAGAAAGGGATGGCCATTTAGAAAAAATATCAGGTGAGGCTGCATCTTTGTAATAATTAATCCAAATCACTGTATTCCTACTTTTTAGGAATAAGTTATTTTTTTAAAATATATTTTATTGATTTTTTATAGAGAGGAAGAGAGAGAGATAGAAAGTCAGAAACATCGATGAGAGAGAATCATCGATCAGCTGCCTCTTGCACACCCCCCACTGGGGATGCGCCTGCAACCAAGTACATGCCCTTGACTGGAATCGAACCCGGGACCTTTCAATTCGCAGGCCGACGCTCTATCCGCTGAGCCAAACCGGTTTCGGCATAAGTTAATTTTGGGAGAGGCATTGCATACATCAGGCCCCTGGAGTTATACTTAAGAATGTTCAGGCATTGGGACAACTGACAATATGTTCCTCATGTTTGATTAATTTCTACTTAATTAGAAACACAGGCCCCAAAACATGCCATGTAGTCACACTGAAATTATAACATATTTAAGTGTGTGAACTGTGGCAACTGAGGAGGACAAAATAGTAAATTTAGTTTATAATGTATGTACGAATTTTAGTGCTTATTTGTGGAGTAACTTGCTGTTCATTTACCAATATGAACAAGATGTTTATGTGTCTGAGACTTCATTTTTATCAACTGTAAAGGAGGGGTTCGGAAAAAAATGTTCCATCTCCAAGGTTATTTCTAGCATTAATAATGTACATGAAATAACATCAATCTTATTTTATGTCAGATGCTAACTCAATTGCTGATCTGGTTCATTTATTTTGTTGCTCTAGTTTTAGACTCATAGTTCCGGTGTTCGTTTTTCTTCACCAATCCTGTGGTTCAGTGATAGCCAATCTTTTTCATCTTTAAATCTTTGAAAAATAAATTGTAGTACTAACTTTAAAGCCAAATTTTATTAATTGAGTCAGGTGTTTCTTTTATTCCTTCACAAGGGAGGTACAAAGACAGACCCATCGATTAGGGGGGTCAGGTTCTAAATTAATCATGTGAAGATGAACTGATGTGAGAATGTGTGTCTGTTGCTTGCAACCGTGCTGTTTCTATGTTTTGGAAATTGTTTCCGTGTCTAGAAATTCTAACTGAAACAAGAGAGTAGCGTTTAACTTCTTCCAGAATATTATTTTAGGACCGAGGTATTAAGATGAAGGATATTGCATTTTCTGAATACTTGATAAAGTCTTTAAAACAGACACCTTTTCCTAAAAAAGAAAAAGAAAAATAGACTCCCATTTGATCCAGTGATCCCACTTCTAGGAAAATATCTCAAGGAACCAGAAACACCAATCAGAAAGGATATATGCACTTCTATGTTCATAGCAGCACAATTTACCATAGCTGAGATTTGGAAACAGCCTAAGTGCCCATCAAACAGCAGATGAGTAGATTAAAAAATTGTGGTACATCTACACAATGGAGTACTACTACACTGCTGTAAAGGACAAGGAACTCTTACCATTTGCAACAGCATGGATGGAACTAGAGAGCATTATCTAAGCGAGATTAGCCAGTTGGAGAAAGATAAATATCATATGATCTCATTCATGTGTGGAATATGATGTACAATGTAAACTGATGAACAAAAGAGAGCCAGAGGGAAAAATATTTTAGAATATAAAACAACGACACTTTATCTCTTTGGTATGGTTTTCTCGTGGTCAAACGTAAACAGTACAGTTTTTCAGGAATTAAATTATTATTTCATTAAGGGCATAGAAGATGACGTTTTGAGATTCAACATGGGTCTTACTACAGCTCTTTCAGTTCCAGGGCTGTCCATGGACATCAGTTGTATCCTTCATGTTATTTTTGTCAATAAACCAAGTACTGTGCTTCCATTGAAATAAGTCATTTTGAGGTACCACAGAGCAAACTACAATTTTATTATAAAAATTTCCTTTGCCATAACCTTTTCTTTTTAATGCCTTCCATAAATAAGATATACTTCTTTTTATTCCAAGTTTGTGCATTAGGCTTTGTTTATTACTATATATATATATATATATATATATATATATATATATATATATATATATATATAATAAACTAGTGCCCTGGTGCACAAATGAAGATTTGTGCAAAGATGGGCCTTCTTTTTCCTGGCTGCCGGCACTACCTTCGCTCTGGCTGGAGCTGCTTCTCTGCCTTCCCACACTGCCCAGAGGCCTGGAGTGGCTGCATGGTGCAGAACATCTGTGTTGTCACGTCATGGTGACGACACAAGCATCATGCTGGGCACCTGTGTATGCAAATTAACTTTCCATCTTTGTTGGGTTGATTTGCATACTCACTCCTGATTGGCTGGTGGGTGTCACAAAGATACGGTCAATTACCATGTTACTCTTTAATTAGGTATATATATTAAGGAGTTACTGAGAACTGAAAAAATCATTTGCATTTCACTATGGAAACCTCTCTTTTTCTAATAAAGAATCTAATTTGTGGACTGAATTGAAATATGATTGGTGGTAAGATGATATTTGGCAGAGAAGAGAAAAAGCTCTAATGAACATTAATTGATGTAGGCTATGTTATTTCAAAGATAATAATAAAGCTGAATAGTTATGTCACTGGAAGATGCTTCTGGTGTATCTTGGTAGTCAGGACTATACAGTCTTGTCTAGTTTCTTTTCTAAGTTAAATTTACCCCCAAAGCTCTAGCTGGCTTGGCTCAGTGGATAGAGTATAAGCCTGGGGACTGAAAGGTCCAGTCAAGGGCACATGCCCAGGTTGTAGGCTCGATCCCCAGTAGAGGGCACACAGGAGGCAGCCAATCAATGATTCTCATCATTGATGTTTCTTGCTCTCCCTACCTCTCCCTTCCTCTCTGAAATCAATAAAATATATATTAAAAATATATTTACTCCCAAAGTCACTTACCCTCAGGAAAAATAAAGGTTCATTCAGATCTTTGCATTGACTTCAAAGCAATTGTCTGACTTAATTGAATACCTGGTTCCTGACCCTGGATTATTTTTCATTCTACTAACACTACAGAGGATGTGTGTTATGTTCCTGTGATCTCCCCAAATCTAATAAAAATACTTTAAAAAGACAGTAAAGAACCAAAGTATTAATGGTTTTAAGTAATTTTTTATGTATAAACTCTGTTGTATTGGCTAGTGATTATTTTTAATAAGGTAGGCCTATCATATTTTAAGAGTTTTTGTTGAATCGGGGGAAATAAGAATCCAGAAATGCTGAATTTTTTTTTTTACTACAGATCTCTTAACCTCATCGAACTTTTAATTTCCTTATTTGTAAAATTGTGAATAATCATAACCTTCTCTGTCTACATCCCATGTTTGAAATAATACATAGGAATAGCCTTTGTATAGTGTAAGTTACCTAAGCATATACCAGGGCTGGGGAACATCCTTATAAGGCTCTCGGAATCATTTGGTTTGGCCCTGCCAAGGCAACCACAGGTGGGACTTGAAATTCAATAAATATATAGGAGCCTTTTTCATAGAAATGGAATTCCCACCTCCTCCTACAGTTTGTTGTATCATAACAGTAATTGTTCTAACAGGTTTCAGGTGCACAGTTCTACAACACATCATCTGAATACTGCATTGTATGTTCACCACCTCAGGTCAAGTCTTCATCCATCCTCATTTAATTTTCCCTATGGCCTCCCCCATCTCCTTCTGCCCTCCTTCCCCGGGCAAATAGCCACATTCGGCTATGGCTATCATATTGGATAGCACAGCTTTAGCATTTAAGCTCCAAAAAAACAAAGACTTGCCTGCTTTGTATATAGCTGTGTCTCCATGGCCTTAAACAATGCCTGGCAATAGGAGGCACTGAAATACTTAAAAAAAAAAAAAAAAAATCCTCACCCAAGAATATGGAGAGAGAGAGAGAGAGAGAGAAAACAGAACAAAACAAAACAAAAAAATACAACAAAACATTGATTGGCTGGGATAGAACCCACAACCTAGACATGCGCCTTGACCAGGAATTGAACCTGTATCCTTTTGGTGCACTGGATGATGCTCCAACAAACTGAGCCACCTGGCCAGGACTTAAAATACTTCTTTTACTGAATAAGTGACTAGAGCGTTGCCTATGAAGTCGGGTGATTTGGGCTATCGTCCTAATAATTAAATTGGTGTTCTCATGCAAATAATTTGATTTCTCTTTTATAAAATGGTTTTTCCATATTCTTTTTTTTTTTTTTTTTTGCGAGAATCATATAAGAACTGTACATGATAATATATTAGGAATCATGAAGTGCAGGAACAGATTAGGGAATTGTTATTGCTCCTAAAGGGAGGGCGTGGTGGTGCTGAGAAGATCAGGAAATAGGTCTGAGAACTTGATTATATTTCCTGAGCACAATATTACGTACAAAAATATTTTTATTTTGATTAATTTTCTTCTTCCTTCCATTGTCTATAGCTTTGGCCTTTTGCACCCCAATGGGGACGAGCAACACATCTGTTTACATCATGCTTTTTAACAAGATTCAATAAATGATGTGTGCCTGCGCATGTTTATTAAATTAGAATTGCAATGATTTTATTCAATCTGTGAGAAGGCTACGAAACTGCGAGGCACCATCTGTTTATATAAGCATCGGAGCCAGTTTCCTAGGGCTGGAGCCAAGGGAGCACTCTTGGCTTTGTGGTTGACCGTCCTGGAGGGGAGCATGGCTTTGTAGGGCTAGGAGGGACATCCAGAGGTCACCGATTCATTTGCTCCATAAACACACTTCCCCTAAATCATCGGAGGCACCTGGGCATCTCTCCCATTTCTAACAGCCTCCAGGCAGAGCAATTCTCAGCATATTATTAAAAAGTCTGAGGTGAATTTAAACAGAGGTGAAAACCATTGTCCCAAAAAGAATGGACTTATTTTGTTGTTGTTGAGATTTTCTTTTTCTTCCTTAAACAAAGGGCACAAGGGGGCAAGCCATTATTCCTCCCACACCTGGACCCTTTAATAAGTGTTTTCTGTTTTATTTCTCATCTCTCCAGCAGTACTTGTCAAATGGAGGTCCAAGGTTCCTTTGCATTAGAATCATTTGTTGTGCTTATATATAAGGCACTTTCCTGTTTCCAAACTGAGTCAGGCCCTCTGGATATGGCCCCCACAGGCTGATTTGAACAAACTCTCTGGCTCAGGTCTGAGAACAACTGCATCTTGTTCTTTAGGATTCGGCTCAATCGTCCTTCTTCTTTGATCAATCATATTTGATTAGTCCGCTTTATCATCTAATAGCAATGAATTGATCTCCACATCTTTGTGTAATTATTAAACTTGTTGGTATGGTATAGCCAAACTAATTTATCTACCTGACTGTAACCTATGTGGTGAGTTAGCAGCAGCCCAGCTGCAAGTGATGAATAAAAAGCAATCTCAAGTCAATGGAATTTAATATAGACCTGTTTTATTTGTTTGTTCATTTGAGCACCATCTATTGTGGTGCTCAAAATCTTTTATGTAAAAAAAAAGAATTATGGTAAATTTCTTTGTCTTCTATGTATGTGCTTTTATAGTAAGTTCTCTTATTGTTTTTGGCTGTAGGGTAGATATTATTTCCATATATTACACTTGGTATAGAATAAATAAAATAAAATAAAGCAGATTTTAAAGTTAACTGCTTTTTTTATTTTTTAGTTCACTGAAATTTCATTTTATTGTTTAAAGTATTACATATAGTAGTACATATGGTTGTGTTTATATGCATGCATACAAGTCCTGTGGTTGATCTCTTTATCCCTCTCCTCAACACTCCCCAGCCTTCCCGCTGAAATTTGACAGTCTGGTCTATCTGCTTTCTTTGTTGTTCATGTTCATGGTCTTGTCCATGATGTGTAGGGAACTGAGCATTGACTTTCTGAAGGTGTTATACTCACTGTCCACTGTTCTAATCATGCTTCCATTTTTTAAAATTTAAAATATTTTTTTATTGATTTCAGAGAAGAAGGGAGAGGGAGAGAGAGCGAACAACATCAATGTTGAGAAAGAATCACGATGGGCTGCCTCCTGCACGCCCCACACTGGGAATCAAGCCCATAATCCAGGCATGTGCCCTGACAGGAACTGAACTATGACCTCTTGGTTCATAAGTTTGACACTCAACCTCTGAGCCATGCTGGCCAGACTAATCATGCTTTCTTGACAATTTTCCACATAAGCTCAAATATAAGGAGAGTTTTCTCCTGCTTCTACAATGATCCCTGAGAAAAGGAATTCATTTTATATTCGAATCCTTATAAAGTTTCTTCTATTGTGGATCCTCCCTCAATTACTGTGTTTAGAATAATAAAGTACTTGTTGGAGACAATATATTACCCCGAATGACCCCAATCATTGCTAGTTTTGAATGCTTATTGGGATTACCTGATGTGTTCTATTAAAAAAAAAAAATCTAATATAGTTGGATGTCATTGTAAACAAGCCACTTAAAGATGTCTTAAGTTATTACCTGGAGAACATGATTATGCGGCTATAAGATGAGTTTTGAAGAAACCAACTTGCTTTGCGAATTTATGCTTGTGGCACAGGATGAAATGTTCAGCAGCAGTGTTATTCACTGAATCAAAAGTGCTTTATTTAAAACAACTCAGATGGATCTGAAGATGGTAAGCTTTGGAAAACTAAAAAAGTGGCTCTCATGAAGATGCTAATGGTTAAGTTACATGTGAAGGTTTGAATACAATTTTTTAATGACATGATAGTTGAAAAAAATTTTTAATTAATGTACTTTTTTTTAAAATACATAATTTAAATTTTGTGTAACTGAATTAATAAGGTACTCACTGTAAATAGACTATTATTTTATCTGCATCTCTAAAAGTTAATGAATTCAAGTTGGGTTCAGAAACCTTTTACTATCTTTACTTTTTTTTTTTTTTTTTAATATATTTTATTGATTTTTCACAGAAAGGAAGGGAGAGGGATAGATAGCCAGAAACATCGATGAGAGAGAATCATCGACCAGCCGCCTCCCGCACACCCCCTACCGGGAATGTGCCCACAACTAATGTACATACCCTTGACCGGAATCGAACCCGGGACCCTTCGGTCCGCAGACCAACGCTCTATCCACTGAGCCAAACCGGTTTCGGCTTATCTTTACTTTTTTATTGGGATAGCCTTCAACATGCCTTTATACCTGGGTATATGGAGGATTCTGTTTTTTCTTGCTTTTCCACCCAGATACAAACATCTTGGGAGCAGAAATCACATCTCAGTACATCTCTGATAAGCCATTACATCACTTTCTGGCACAGTTCCTGCTCCTTGTGGATTCTCACTAAATGCTGGCTACCGTGCCAGGGCAAAATTTGTATTGTTATTTGTGCAAAATGTCCATTAATATAGTTGGGACTTTTAAAGAAAAAGTTTCTTCTCAGCTTTTATGCTCTATGCAAAAGTAGCAAATTATATATGTAAATGTATATGCATATGCATATGTATGTGTATGTGTATATGTATATATATACACGTGTGTGTGTGTGTGTGTGTGTGTGTGTGTGTGTGTGTGTGTGTGTGTATTGTATCTAATAAAATATATTCTAATTTCAGTGGGTTCCTCAAGGAGAGAAGGAGTTCCTGCCCATGTTAATCTCTCTGCATCATCCATGCTAATGATTGCAATGCAGTACACATCCAACCCAGGTAAGTGGAAATTTGGGTGACTTGACTAGTTCCAAAAATAATAATTAGTCAAGAGATCAAGCACACAGGCTAGAAATTCATGAAAAGAACTTTGCTTGGTGGATAGACAAGTGAAGAGGTGTTAGGTAACAGACTTCTGAGTTGAAATACATTTTCCTTTCCCTTTCAATAAAATATATTGTTGCTATTAGTAGCAATCTTGCAAGAATGTTGAAGACACAAGTTTAGAACATTGTCTAGAAATTGATTAAATATAAATATACATGAATGATTTACTTAGAAATGTAAAAATCACCTGCAATTCTAGTAATTAAAGAAAATCATTTGTGAATTCACTACTTTAATGCCACACAAGTATCCTAGAACATAAATCTTTTAGTACATTTCTGATTATTTTCTTAGAATACATTTATAAAAAAGGGATTAATTGGTTAAAGGACTTGAAAAGATTTCAATAGTCTCACTAATTACATAAGAAAGTATATGTAACCTGTCATTGAGTATTATAAAATTTGTATAGAGTTGTACAGGTGGAAATAATGTCTTGTTGCAATTTGTATTTATTTGATTACTAGTGATGTTGGACAGGTTTCATATGATTTACTCTGTTTGATTTCTGTTCATCTGTATAATTGCAAATCAACTTTGGGAAACTGACTTAAAAAGGGGCTGATGTTGGAGACACATGCTAAGATATGACAATTTTTTATTTTTATTTGATGTTTATTTGGAAAGTGAATCAATTTGATAGCATAGTTTTCAACCTTTTACTTAATTACATAGTAAATTAACTACATCCTATATAATAAAATCTCATTGACTGAAATGGTGAAATGACCAGAATGACTAGAGACCAGAATGACCACAGCCAGTAGTTAGGGGTGTTCAGGCAGGCAGGCAAGCAGTTAGGGGCAATCAGGGAGGTAAGCAGAGGTGGTTAGGGGTGATCAGGCAGGCAGGTGAGCAGTTAGGGGCCATTGGTCTTGAATTGCAAGAGGGATGTCTGACTGCTGGTTTAGGCCCAATCCACTGTGAATCGGGCTAGACTGGCAGTCAGACATCCTCTGAGGGGTCTCGGATATCGAGAAGGTGCAGGCTGGGCTGAGGGACCCCCCCCAATGCACAAATTTTGTGTACTGGGCCTCTACCCTCTCTATATAAAAGCTTAAGTGACCGAACGACCGGTTGACTGGTTACTATAATGTGCACTTACCACCAGGGGGCAGATGCTCAATGCAGGAGCTGCTCCCTGGTGGTCAGTGTGCTCTTATAGCCAACCTCCTGTGGCCCCAATCTGCTGATCACCGGCCAGGCCAAGGGACCCCACCCATGCACTAATTCATGCACTAGACCTCTAGTAGAAAATAATAATGGAGTTTTTGACTCTGGATGATGAGGAAAACATATTTTTTTTTATTAAAAAACTCTAATGCTTTGTGTGTGGAGCATCATCCTTTAAATATGAAATTTCTTATGATTATGAGTTTAATTAAAATACATTTATTTTGGGAGTTATAGCTCATGTCTCACCCTGTTTGGCTTAAAGTACCCTCAAAATGTGATTTACATTATATATTGTGTTCTGGAAAAAACCCTTCATTTGAAATCTAATAAAATGAAGTCTCATCATGAAGGTTTGGTCTTAATTTCTAAGTTGGAAGGCAGTAAAGCAATGTGGGTAAAATTATGTGCTTTGAATTTAGATGTATGTGGGTTCACATCTGAGCTCACCTGCAAATTGCCAGTTAGCTTAACCTTGAGCACCATTTTTAACCACCTTACGACTAAGTTTCCTCATAAAATTTCTATAAAATGGGAATAATTCCTCCTGCAGTGCCTTAAAATGCCATTGTGAGGATTTAATGAATAAAAGCATACGTAAAGTGCTTAGCATAGGAATGGTCACATTGTAAATGCTCAGCAAATAGCAATGGGATTGTTATAATCTGTCATCTTCTTGGAGTTGAATGTTTCCCAGGGAAACCACCTTGATCATATAGAATTACTTCTATTATTTCTACATCTGTATCTTTATCATATAGAATTATTTCTGTTACTTCTAATTTTGTATTGTCATCTATTCATGGGGAATATTTATAGCCAAAAGTTAATTCTATAGTAAGAATTATATTTGGAACCCCAAGCCAGTCTTGCAATGTGGGAAACTGTAAAGAAGTGAAGTGATATCCACCAGGAGGCACTCCGGGACCAAGTAGTAGGTCATCATCATATTGTTTTAATTTTCCTTGGGGGAGACAGCAAGAGGCAGCTTGGTCCTTGTAGTCTTTGTTCAACTAACAAGTTCTGTTGAGTAAATCCTCTGTACACAGTTTTGTGCATTTAGGCATTGGGAAAGCCATCAGATATGTAAGATCTAGAGGCCTGGTGTATGAATTTTGTGCACTGGAGAGCGGTTCCTCAGCCAGCCTGTGCCCTCTCGCAGTCCTGGACCCTCAGGGGATGTCTAACGGCTTAGGCCCGCTCAAGTGGGCCTAAGCCGTCAGTCAGACATCCTTAGCACTGCTTCTGGCTCTGAGTGGCACTCTCCCTGTGGGAGTGCACTGATCACCAGGGGGCAGCTCCTGCATTGTCTGTCCCCTGGTGGTCAGTGTGTGTCATAGCAGTCATTCTGCTGTCAGGATGAAACTGGCTCTCTAATATCCCCCCGGGGTCCCAGATTGTGAGAGGGTGCAGGCGAGGCTGAAGGACCCCCACTGATGCATGATCAGGGCCAGGGAAGGATGTGGGAGGTTGGCAAGCCAGGGAGGGACCGCAGGAGGGCTCCAGGGCATGTCTGGCCCATCTTGCTCAGTCCCGATTATTTGGACCCCAGCAGCAAGCTAACCTACTGGTTGAGCATCAGTCCCACTGGTCAGTGCACGTCATAGTGATTGGTCGACCAGTTGACTGTCTCCTGGTGATCAGTGCATGTCAGAGCAAGCAGTTGAACAACCTTAACATATATTAGCATATTATTGATTGGTTGAACAGCCAACTGGATGACCAGACACTTAGCATATTAGGCTTTTATTATATAGGATGGTTCTTGCTTCATAAAGATTATATTTAGTTGAGAAGATTAGGCATATTCACATAAATCATTAATTTGTAATATAAAGTAGTATGTGAAACATACAAAATAAATACTGTAGATAGTGTTCATCAGAAATCAAGAACTTTGTAGATTAAAAGGACTAGGGAAGGTTTCATGCCACTTGAACAAAGTATGGGTCTTAAAATATGGACATAATTTTAATTGATATAGTAAGTAGGGTCTTCTGGGAGGGGAAATAATAGGGTTGGAAGATGGAAAGGTAAAAAAACAGCTATCTAACTAGGACAGTAGCATCTTTCTTCCCTAAATAAGCAGAGGCAAATCAAAGAAGCTGGTTGCTGTTGCGTAGCTTTTAAGCATTCATCAGGAGATGGAATTGGAAATCAAATGATAAGATTCCCATTCTAATCCATCATTCTGTGACTTCCTGTCCTAACTGGGACAAGGTAGGAAACTAAGTCTCAGTTTATTCACTGTAACATGGTAGTTATGAGATAATACAAGTAAAGCTCTTAGCACAATACCTGGCATAATAAATGCTCAATCAATATGGCCTTTTGTTATGATCCTATTCTGCTATTTTTTCCCCTATGCAGTTCTTTATTACATTGATATAAGTTTGTGTTATAAAGGTACGATTACTAGGGATTTTTCTTAATCTTTCCTTTATTGATAAGATGACTGAAATATACTTTCAAGGATCTTGGAATAAAGCTTGATAAAGTCAAGGGCTTATATGATTTTTTGAGAAGTATGAATATATGGAAATAAGTAGTTTCTAATTTAATGAGTAAAGTGAAAGTCTCACTAGTATAGTTTATTAACTCTCAAAGGATGTTTTATTTGGTACTTATATTTAATGTTCAAATTACATTTCCTTCCTTACAGTGTATCATTGTCAATTATTGGAATGCCTCATGAAATATAAACATGAAGTCTGGAAAGTAAGTTTTGGACCACATTTAACTCATAGCCACGAACTTAATTTATATAATGTAGTAAAAATCGTTTGCATGTTAAATGTATTTGTAGGTAAAATTTATTGATGTTTTATTATATTGGTGTGGCAGAACCTATAATTCTTTCCTCACTGGTTAATTATTATTTAGAGAAGGAATGGTCTTGAACCAATAGCTTGACCGAAAAAGTAATTGAATGTCTTTTATTCTTAGAATTTAGCAAATGCTATATTAGATGACAATTTTATTTAATTTGAAAAGTTGCTTAAGAACCCGTCTCCTTTCAAATAGATGTGCATTGTTGCAAAATGTGTTATATTTTAAAAATGCACTGTTTAGCAACTGGCTTATGTTGTTCTAAAATCTATCTTTAATATCATTCTGAGTAGAGAATTTGTTAAGAGGTAATGTACATATGATGGGTGAAGGGATTAAGCAAAATTAAAAAAAAAAAAGAGAGACTCATGGACACAGACAATAATATGGCGATTGCCAGAGGAAAAGGGGGCGGTAGGAGGTAGAAGGGTAGACAGAGGGGATCAATAGTGATGGAAAGAGACTAAACTTGGGCTGGCAAATACACAACACATGTATTGCAGAAATGTGTAATTGAAACCTGTTTAATTTTATTAACCGATGTCACCCCAATAAATTCAACTAAAAAAAAAAGAGAGATAATGTACATATGAATTCCACCTGGGGGGTTTATTTACATGACCAATAAGTAAATAGCTAAAATAATGTTTTAATGTGATCTAAACTGGTTGATGAGATTCCAGGGGAATTAACCACCTCAACTCCTCTATTGAAATGTTTCCTGCTTTGGTACTGTCGAGTGAGCTACCTTTATTTTTACTTGATCATGCTAAGTCAAAACATGCTTCCTGCTTCCTTCAGGATCTTTTGTACGTGATCGCCTATGGCCCTTCACAAGTGAAACCGCCAGCTGTGCAAATGCTGTTCCATTACTGGCCCAATCTAAAACCTCCTGGGGCAATAAGCGAATACAGGGGCTTGCAGTACACAGGTAAGAGAAGAGCCCTTGCCTCACCTACTTATATATATTTTTTATCTTGCTGGATTATATGTATGTGCCTTTAGACATTGTCATAAATCCTCTCTGAAACTAGGTGGTGTAAAATAAATTAATTAAAATTAATTTCATGACACCATAGTGTAAATCTCAGTCTCATTTGCCTCACGTACTCTGTGGTCTTAACTACGACTGATATTAATCACTGCAGAGGTGTGAGCCGTAATGCTGCACATTTGCTCACCATGTAGCAAAACTCCAGGTGGCTAATTCTGTTCTGATGAGAAGATTTGGATCATGTTCAACATTACCAGTACTACACTAAGTGCCAATTAAACGACCTTGATAGCCTAGTTGGACAGGAAGAGTCAATAATTGCTGAATATTGTTGTCATTAATAACTGAGAAGTAAACATCGAATTTAAATATAAAGACATATATTTATAAAAAAAAAACCCCACCAAACTAACCCAGGTTCTATGTTGTAGATTATGTTTAACTATAATAATAAAAGTGTAATATGCTGAACAGACCGGGCAGCCAAATGACTAGGCGAAGTCGCGGTGCTGGGGCCGAGTCAGAGGCGATTAAGGGTGATCAGACAGGCAGGTAGGCAAGCAGTTAGGGGTGATCAGCCAGGCAGGCAGAGTGGTTAGGGGCGATCAGGCAGGCAGGCAGGCAAGCAGGCAAGTGGTTAGGGAGGATCAGACAGGTATTATAGATGAGCAATTAAGGGTGATCAGGCAGGCAGGTGAGTGATTAGGGGCGATTGAGGTAGGCAGGCAGGCCAGCCGTTAGGAGCCAGTGGTCCTGGATTGCAAGAGGAACGTCTGACTGCTGGTTTAGGCCCAAATCCCTCAAGGGGTCCCAGATTGCGAGAGGGTGCAGGCTGGGCTAAGGACCCCACCCTCCCATGCACGGATTCAGTATAATATAATCTATGGCTAATAGAGTTTCAGATGCCCTTGACTATCTTCTCCCTCTACTTAATTGTAGACATAGCTTTCTAAAAATGGCAGAGGTGGATGTTTTGGCAAAGTTAGCTTTTATTCAGATCTTGTGTACTGATGTTCTAGAACCCATTTTCTTGACCTCTCTTGTCTTTCCTAAGGCCATTGGAGGTGGTTCAGCAGGCATTTAGTTTAATTCTGTTCCTTATGTTCCTGATGAAAGCCACTTGCTAGAGTTATTAATGCCTGTTTTGATGGTCCTTCCTGGGCTTAGTCTAAGCTTAGAACAAATAGTATGGGCTGTCGTGGTAACAATAATACAGGCAGTCCTCAGGTTACATTGGAGATCTGTTCCTACAGTGCGACCTAACTCGATTTTCGCCGGAAGTCAGAACCCACCTACATAACCACCTATGTCACGCACAGGGAGCACACACACAGCAGCAATGAAGTGAAATAGTAAAATAAAATTAAAAGAAAGGTAAGGATTCCTGACCTTTACTTTTAGTAAATAAATAATGAAAACATAAAGCACATATGTACCTATGTCGAAATGACGGAACTTTATTTTTTTATAAGTATTGAAAATGGGAGATGGCAACGTAACCACAAAATGACATAAGTCAAGTCCGACATAAACTGGGGACTGCCTGTATTAATTAAATCAATGGAGGTAGTAATTTTTAAAAGAATTAAAATTGATATTATTGATGTTTTATATAACCTATAATAAAGACTATTGAAATATTGCTAATTGGATAATTTGAATATAAAAGCTAACGTAGTTGGAATCATTAATAAAATAAAAGGTAAAATGATTGAAATATTTGCTACCAACTCTTCTCAGTAGATCTATGAAATAAGCATTTACAGGATGTATGGATGGGTAACCAGTATTAAATGAAATGTACTTATTTGGTAAATATTTAAAGAGTAACTCTAACGTGCAAGGCCCTGTGTTTTCTGACACAAAACCAGATCTTATGGAACTTAATACAATCTAGATATGAAAACTCATTCATTCATCAAATTTTTGTGCGGTATCCACTGTTAGCTGGGCATTATCCTAGGCATTGGTAATATGATAAAAAACCATACTAAAAATCACTAATATCTTGGTGTGTACATCCCATTTGGAGGAAAAGACCAGGAAACTACCTTATAGTGTGGTAAGTACTAAGGTAGAGCAAATACAGTTGGCCATTGAACAACACAGGAGTTAGGGGTACCAGCCTTCTCACCCCATTTACAGTTGAAAATATATGCATAACTTTTGACTCCCCTAAAACTTAACTATTAGTAGTCTACTGTTGATGAGAAACATCACATATTATAGCCATTTAACACATATTTTATGTTATATGTATTATATACTGTATTCTTAAAATAAACTAGAGAAAAGAAAATCATAAGAGAGAAGAAATACATTTACAGTATTTATTGAAAAAATTCTGTGTGTAAGTGGACCCACTATTAATAGCCTACAATTTAAAGCTGGGTTGTTCAAGGGTCAACTGTACAGAGAACTGTGGGAGCACACTGCAGGGACCTCTGACCTCACCCTGATGGTGGGCAGATTTGAAGGAGGTTGAGTTGTCAAGAAAGGTTCTTTCGTGAGTGACATTTGAGCTGATACCTGAACGAGATGTACACTCCAGACATCACTAGGGGAGTGAAACATTAATAGATAAAAAGTGAGATTGAGGCAGAAGGAACTGCGTGGGTTCAGACTCAGAGGCCAAAGATTGCATGATAGTATTTTAGTTACTGGAAAAAGTCGCTTTGCAGCCAGACAGTGAAGGGACAGGGGTAAGCGGAAAGCCTGGCAGGGCCTATGAAGGAGATTGGATTTCATCCTAATGGCCAAGGGAAACCACATCAGGTTTTAAATGGAGAAACCACATGATAACATTGGCCTGTTAGTGTCCCTCCGGGAAACTGACAGAGGCTTCTGTTTCCCCGGTGACCACACCCTCTTGAAAGAGCCAGACAAACCTGTATCCCCGGAATAGCTCGGCCTCTGCCAACTACGATCAGAGTGACTCTTTCTTCTCTTGCCTATCTGAACAGGAGTTGCTGTGTGCAGGCATTCAATCTTGTAATCACACCTCCACATGCTTCCATTATTTGCCTACTTGCCAGGCACTGCCCAAGGTCCTGGGAAAGCCGCTCTCTTGGCAGTCCCATTCTAGGGGATTATGGCATTCTATGCAGAAAACAGGAGGTCATGGGGAAAATGAACCATTCTTGTCTGTATGTTACTATTGATCAGGCATTGTCCTAGCTGCTTATTATCTCATTTAATATTTTAGCCTTCTCTTAATTGAACAAAAATTATAGGCCAAGACCAGAGTAGGTTGTACAGACATTTTCTCCATTAATTTTCACAAAAAATCTTGAGAGGCAGGTTTCTTTATTTCAATGTTACAACGAAGAGTGGGGCATAGTTCAATTAACATCCCTAAATTCACACAATAATAAGGAAACACTGCTTGAATTTGAACCTAGATTCTCTTCATTGAACACTCACATTTTTTGGGTATAACTGTGCTGTCACTTCTCTCAATTTAGTTTCTTAGTGAAACATTAGAAATTTCTGCAATGCCTGCTGCAGTGAAGGATGAAGTAAAGGGTATCATCAGTATTTAGAGTGCACTGCAACCCTAAATATTTTAATAAGAAGAATTATATAGCTTCACAGAATTTTATGATGAAAACTAAAGGCCGGGTGCATGAAATCATGCATGGGTGGAGTCTGGCTGGCCCACTGTGATGGGGGTAGATCGGGTCTGGGCCAGTGGAGGGTAGGGGATGTAAGAGGTTGGCATCTGTTTTCTTATTGATTTTATATCTGGGTGATTGATCCATTGCTTTTATTTTTCAGCAGCTTTACTATGTCTTTTTGGGGTTTCCTAAGACTTCTTGATTTAATGTCTCTCATCAGTTTTAGAAAATTGCCAGGGATTATTTTTCTTTTGTTAGTGATAACAGTACTTTATTAAAGCATATTTTATATATAGTAAGATACACAAGTATCAACTACATGGCTGGATCCATTTTGACAAGTATATAATGCTCATCTAATTATTACCCAGATAATTTGAGTTATAACATCAACTGTAGAGCTATCACAATGCTTTTGTTTAAGTAACTCTTATGTTACTTCTTAATGCCACATTTACATATGGTTTATTATAGTACACTAGAGGCCTGGTGCATGACAGTTGTGCACTGGGTGGGTGGAGGGTCCCCCAGCCTGGCCTGTGCCATTTATTTATTTATTTATTTATTTATTTATTTATTTATTTATATTTTAAATATATTTTATTGTTTTTTTTACAGAGAAGAAAGGATAGGGAGAGAGAGTTAGAAACATTGATCAGCTGCCTCCTGCACACTTCCCACTGGGGATGTGCCCACAACCAAGGTACATGCCCTTGACCGGAATCGAACCTGGGACTCTTCAGTTCGTAGGCCAACGCTCTGTCCATTGAGCCAAACCAGCCGTGGCTTGGCCTGTGCCCTTTAGTAGTTTGGCAGCCTTTGGGGGATCTTTGACTGATGACTTAGGCCGGCTCCCCCAGGGGACATCCTTAGTGCTGCTGCTGCGCTCAACAACCATCAGCCTGGCTTGTGGCTGAGTGGAGCTCCCCCAGCGGGAGCTCACTGACCACCCGGGGCCAGCTCCTATATTGAGTGTCTTCCCCCTGGTGGGCAGTGTGCATCATAGCCACTGGTTGTTCCACCTTTTGATTGATTTGCATATTACCCTTTTGTTATATAGGATGGTTATAATTATTCTATTGTGTTATTAGTCATTGTTATTTTTTTGCTGTGCCTAATTCATAAATTAGCCTTTATCATAAGTCTGTATGTATAGGAAAAAAACCATAATATATATAGGGTTTGATACTATTTGAGGTTTCAGGCATCTACTGGGGGTCTTGGAATACATCCCATGCGGATAAGGGGGACTTTGTATTCATATGATTCAGGGATTTATTGTTTTGTGTCTTACTTCATTCATTTAGCATAATGTTACTG